ACCACCCTCAGTATGAATGAGGCATGCGCACGTTCCTGAATACCATTTTATGGTATCTGTTGAGGTGGCGGCGAAGGGAGTGCTGACCGGTGCCTCTAAACGGGCAGTTCCAAACGAAGCAGAAGTGTTCTTCAATCCAGCGTGTGTCGTCCACCAAGGTCACGAACTCGGGCGGCTGGTAGAGTGGGCGCTCATAGAGTGCGCTATCAACGGATGCGTGAACACACACATTGTTTGACCGACTCCCAGCTCTCGCGTAGATGAAATCTCCTCCCATTAGGATCAGGTCGCCTTTGTTCAGAGTGATGTGTTGTCGGTCAGAGACCATGGCAACATTGTGGTTCCAACCATATCCGTAGATGTACGTGTTGTCTTCAGTAGCGATATACAGCGACCCTGGGACCGAGATGGACTTGACGCATTCGTCTCCCACCGGATCCGGCGAAAACCGGCGGCGGACGAGCTGGTTTGATGCACCCGCGACAGTCTTCAGGAACTGCCACTCTGCCACCTTGGAATCCGGGAAGAAGGTCAGATAGAAGCGCTGTAGATCCTCGGACAGGGCACTAATGCCCGAACACGATTGTCATCAGTGAGCACATCGTTCCAAGTCTCGTGGATCCATAGGTTCTTGTTGTCACGAGCCAAGGAGCGAAGGTGGTCGGTCTCGTCGTCGGGAACCGCGCGGTACATGACGACAAAGCCCTTCTTTTGGAAGTTGTGGATAACGTTCATAGCACTGCAGTTGGTGGTTGTTGTGCGATGTTTGCGAGGCTTGGTAGTAAGATGCTTGCCGAAGCTGGATAATTGGGAAATGCGGTGAAGATTTATGTCAAGCTCGACAATACTCGCACATACCCGTTGTTGAACAGCAAGCAAGTTGGCTTCCTCCATATTTTTCGACATATTAAAGCTCATCTCTTGCTCTCGTCAAAGCAAGATACGAATGAGGCAGGCAGGTCCTTGTCGTTAATCCATGCAGCTTTCTTACTCATAGCCGACAATGCTTTTGCTTGCATCGATTGAACGCTTCCTAGCAGAGTATGCTAGCTTTAGATTTCAACTGCTCATATCAATTTGTGTTGCGCTTTTACTGGAAGCAACATGCTCATGCGATCGAGAAGACATCATCGACTCGGAAACAACGCCAACTTTTTATTCTTGCGCAACGACAGAGCGGTTTCTCAAATATGAAATCAAAATGGTTTGGTAGCTTTATGGTACAGAAAGATATGAATATGGATATCTGTGCGCAAGTGCTCATTACAAGCATCAAGTTGCGGTGGAAGCTTTGTCTTGTAGCGTTAGTGTTGAAAAATGCAGTGGTTGAATCACAGGGCTGGCCTTTAAATTTCAAGTACCACAACATCTTTTGAAGGAGTTGCAAGAACGTCCACCAATTATTGGACACATACCAACTAATGTGCGGCTGTGGTAGCCATGGCATGTTTTTTTGTGTTGATGCCATACTGTGAAACCGTTGGGTCGCAACAGATGTCATGGTATGATTTTTTATTTTGGTACCATACCGTGAAACTTGTTGGATCGCAAAGGATGCTGTCGGTATATCCCTTTGCGCTAGCACTCCACAAATCGGTAGCCTAACATCAACCTCCTGCTTTAGTGATCTAGCGAAGTAATTGGATTGCCTTTCAAGCTCAAACAAACTGCGTAGGGAATACTGCTTCGGTTTGCTTGTTGGTTTGTCATTCTGCTAACAAAACCCGCTAGATCAGATTC